GAGCCGGTGACTTTCTTACTCACATTTAGATATATGGAAAGGGTTTATTGGCTCCTCCCTTGGCCAAGACAGCCCGGGATTCACTACCGGGGCCGCCACCCCGAAATTGTATTTATTTTCTGGACGGAGGTCCGACAAGCACAGGGGGGTCACCGTGTTTTGGGGGGAACGATGACAGAGTGACCCCGGACTTCTTACGGCAATTCTGAGGTTTGGGGTTTGGTGATGGTGTGATGGGCGATGCTCTGCCAGGTTGGCTCCACAATGTTCAGAGCTGTGAGATGTATGGGGGCCCCTCCACTACATGTAAAATATATGGGGACCCCTCCACCCTATGTGAGATGTATGGGGGCCCCTCCACTGTGTGAGATGTATGGGGGCCCCTCCACTGTGTGAGATGTATGGGGGCCCCTCCACTCTATGTAAGATATATGGGGTCCCCTCTACCCTATGTGTGATGTATGGGGGTCCCTCCTACTCTGTGACATTTATGGGGTCAAATCTACTCTATGGGAGATGTTGGGGGGCCCCTCCACTCTATGGGACATGTATGGGGGCCCCTCCACTCTATGGGACATGTATGGGGGCCCCTCCACTCTATGGGACATGTAGGCGGGCCCCTCCACTCTATGGGACATGTAGGGGGGCCCCTCCACTCTATGGGACATGTAGGGGGGCCCCTCCACTCTATGGGACATTTAGGGGGACCCCTCCACTCTATGGGACATGTAGGGGGCCCCTCCATTCTATGGGACATGTACGGGGGGCCCTCCACTCTATGGGACGTGTTAGGGGGCCCCCTCCACTCTATGGGACATGTATGGGGGCCCCTCCACTCTATGGGACATGTAGGGGGGCCCCTCCACTCTATGGGACGTGTAGGGGGGCCCCTCCACTCTATGGGACGTGTAGGGGGGCCCCTCCACTCTATGGGACGTGTAGGGGGGCCCCTCCACTCTATGGGACGTGTAGGGGGGCCCCTCCACTCTGGGACGTGTAGGGGGGCCCCTCCACTCTATGGGCCATGTAGGGGGACCCCTCCACTCTATGGGACATGTAGGGGGGCCCTCCATTCTATGGGACATGTAGGGGGCCCCTCCATTCTATGGGATGTGTAGGGGGGCCCCTCCACTCTATGGGACGTGTAGGGGGGCCCCTCCACTCTATGGGATGTGTAGGGGGGCCCCTCCACTCTATGGGACGTGTAGGGGGGCCCCTCCACTCTATGGGACGTGTAGGGGGGCCCCTCCACTCTATGGGACGTGTAGGGGGGCCCCTCCACTCTATGGGACGTGTAGGGGGGCCCCTCCACTCTATGGGACGTGTAGGGGGGCCCCTCCACTCTATGGGACGTGTAGGGGGGCCCCTCCACTCTATGGGACGTGTAGGGGGGCCCCTCCACTCTATGGGACGTGTAGGGGGGCCCCTCCACTCTATGGGACGTGTAGGGGGGCCCCTCCACTCTATGGGACGTGTAGGGGGGCCCCTCCACTCTATGGGACGTGTAGGGGGGCCCCTCCACTCTATGGGACGTGTAGGGGGGCCCCTCCACTCTATGGGACGTGTAGGGGGGCCCCTCCACTCTATGGGACGTGTAGGGGGGCCCCTCCACTCTATGGGACGTGTAGGGGGGCCCCTCCACTCTATGGGACGTGTAGGGGGGCCCCTCCACTCTATGGGACGTGTAGGGGGGCCCCTCCACTCTATGGGACGTGTAGGGGGGCCCCTCCACTCTATGGGACGTGTAGGGGGGCCCCTCCACTCTATGGGACGTGTAGGGGGGCCCCTCCACTCTATGGGACGTGTAGGGGGGCCCCTCCACTCTATGGGAC